GGCAGAAAAAATATCAAAATTAATTCGGATTGCTATCAGAAATATGATTTAACACCTATTTTTTGAAGAAAAAATTCCATCTCTTTGTCCAAACAATCTTCACTAGGTTAAGTTCCATCAGGATAAAGTTACAACGCATACATTAAAATCTACTGCTCTATTTTGTGAAAAAAATGAGAAATGAAACCGAAATAGAAGCTTTTCGCTTTCAATGCATCCCACCCTAATCTCCTGATGTGTCTTCTTTGGATTACTGTTCATTTGGAATTTTAAAACAAGCTTTGTACTAGCGGCATCTCAAAACATTGGATGGACTCTGGAAGATTGTGAAGGAGGAGTGGAATAAAATCAAGCTTGATGTTTTCAGAAAAAACTTTGGTACTTTTCGGTTTCGAGGGCCGTAAAAAATCGCCAAACTATTGTTGATGGCAATGCTGCCAAAAATAATTGTGGCAACCCTAACGCGAGAAAGGAAGTATAATAGTAAATAACTATGTAAGATTGATATTTGAATCTAGATGAAAGGTTAATTTCATATAATACTTTTTTATTACTATAATTTATATGAAAAAGGCTAAACATGACTGAATGGAAGCATAAGAGTAAATAACTATTTCAGATCATTATTATAATTTATATAAAAATTGCTAAACATAACTGAATGGATGCCTGCATCGCTATTTCGCTACCGACTTATCGCTAAAGCATAATTTCATCTCGTTGGTTGTTCAAACGTAATTTTTTATAATGAATGATGCCTTTTCTTTGAAAATATTCTCGGTAAAATGCAGAATCGCCCACTTATTTGTTTGCCGCTTTTTACAAAGGTAAAAACAATTGGATTTTTGTCAATTTTTTTTTTTACTTTTTAAGTGAAAATAGGTCGATGTGTACATAGATAAAGTCAAGGGTGTACGCAGTGCCATTTTTGTGCAATTCTGGGATTTTTTTTTAAGTGAAAATAGGTCGATGTGCACATGGATGCCGAGTATGTGCAATTCTTAAAAACGCGTGACGCAGTGAGTGATTCTGCATTTTACCCAAAATTCTATTGCCGACTTTTCGTCATGGGCAATTCCCAAATTGTTAAATCCATAGGGTATTAAAAAAGGATTTAAAATCAAAAAAGGATTTAAAAATTAAACTAGTATTTCAATGGCGTCTTAAGAAATATAGAACTATATAAACTTACGCAATCTGAAATCAGCGCGTACGCTAGATTTGGCGCGCTGTTAAATGGGCGCGTTTGCTAGATTTGGCGCTTTTGCGCATACATTTTCGCTGCAATTTTTTACGGTCCTCAAAACGGAATAGTACCAAAACTTTTATATTCGAAATCAAGATGTAATATGATAGTTTAACAAAACGGCTGTAAGATTGAGCATATTAGAAAATAAAATTCTAATTCTTATATTTAAATCTTTGCAAATTCGGTATAAAAATGTGTGAATACCCTCTGTATAGTTACAAAATCATTGGGCTTCTTTCAGACAGTAACTGTATTTCATTCGTTTTCAGACAGTGTATGTAAAATAATGCAAAAAATTATTATCTTTATTTATTTTATGATAAGAATATGAACAAGAACACCGGCCAAAAATCACAGCATTCTTAAAAGCCTTACCCGAAGTTTCCCTCCAAGCAAAAATATTTCCCGTTAAAATAAAAAAGGGACAAGAAAGGAAAGAAATCAACCAATCTATTAAAATGTCACTGCTCTGGTCTTCTTTTAATATTTCAGTTTAAGACAACCCCCTCTCTTTTTTCTGTTCCTATTCACTTGTTGGAAACTTGCCAAAAGCTCTATCGAAAAGGAGAAGTCGGAAGCGTCATCTATCAACCCGAATTTTTTCCCCCTGTTTTAAAGATTTACACTTTGTTATGGCTTCTGCGTCCGGTTTATTATTGCTTATTACGGCCGCCGTATAATCTTCATCAATTAATCGTTCTGTCAGAAATTAATCGATTGAGCTTAACTTTGCACTGATAAATCACGCTTACTGAATTAACGTTTTGTATTTTCTTTACAAGAACTATTATAGTTAATTTCATACATCTTATTAACTAACGATCCAGTGTGTAGTCAGTAGAATGAATTTTTATCGAGAGGTCTCTAATTTTTCGAGGATTAAAAATCACAACTATTCGCTGAGAATTATTATTACAAAATATTTGTGTTTCTTGCAAACAGTTATAGTAATTCGTTCTTTTAAAATATTGTATGTAAAGTAATGCCGGAATTTAATTATTATGATTCATTTTATAGGCCATACATTTAGGTTTCCAAAAATGCTTTATTTTTTGTTTTTACGATAACTAGAAGTAAAGTCATAATATAAAAAATAAACCGGAAGTGAATTTTTGGATGCCGGAAGTTGGTATTTAAATGGTCGTATAAATGTAAACAATAAGTTTAAACCTGTTTTTAATTACTAAACAGTATAAAAGCTGTAAAAACAACACATCTTTCACTGTGTGACACTTTGCTGATAAAATGCCTACATGGGAAGACAAAACAATAATGAGTTGTTTTAATAACCTTTTGAGGACTATTTAACCTGAAGAAACTTTTGTCCAACTGAAAACTTTGCTTTTAGGTGCACATATTGCTGTATTATTATTTAATTCAAGATATTTAGGACTTTTACCTATTTTCAGGTATATAGAAATAGAAATTAATCCCATTATGCTTGAAAGCTACATGGGAATAGACAAACAGGGAATTCGGAAATCGAAACGCCAATCTCTACAAGCAACAAAGTTATTCAGAAAAATGCTAAAAGAAAGTCAAAATTAGTTAAGAATGAAGTAAAAGAGGGCCTAACACACAAATATAGCGAGTTTTAAAGGTCTAAAGTGGCTACAAAAGTTTTTGTGCTGTATTAAAATCTTTAAATGCATTTTCTGAGAAATTGTGTTTTTCGTTACTTTTGATTGCGATTACGTTAATTTCTCAAACTGTATTTAGAATATTGAAATGAAATTTTGCCAAAATGTTTTATTCATATTTAGCTGTGTTCTGTAGCAAAATCTGATCTCTTTGTATTTATTTATTGATTTTATTGACAGTATTTTGAAGAAAAGAGGATTTTTTTTTGTTTTAATTTGGAGTTTTTGTACCAAGTTTTGAATATTTCAAGAAATTTTATAGTACAGCAAATCTTTTGCTACAGAACACAGGTAAGTATGTTATTTATATACTGTGTAAAGATTATTGAAATATTTTCATTAGAATCTGTTATAGGAGATCTGGCGTAAATGAAAATTTTCACTAAAATTTTACTAAATATTGCCTATATTTAAAAAATTAATGAAACGTTCTATAAAATCCCATTTGAATTCATAGTTTTAATAACTCAAAAATAATTATTCACAGAATTAATAACTCAAAAACATGTGTCTTTAATTAAAATTTTACGTATTTAAAAGAAAGGAGCTTCGTATGTAGGCACATACCTTCAATAATGAAGAATCTGCATAAATGTATGTATGTTTCTCTCATTGTGAGGAAAACACTGTACTTAGAGCCATTCAGTTTTGCATTTGAATAAAAATAAAAAGAATTTTTAAAAAGTAAAAATTCTGAAAGGTTTCAGATTTTAAATTACGTTCAAAGGGGCGTTTTTTTTAACGTTTTGTCTGTTACCTTTAATTATTAAATATCATGTTCTTTGCACTTAAACCATAAAATACAGTTCAACAGCAATGTCGCAAAATAATTTTAAAATGAGCATATCTTTAGAATTTCCTATACAAAGTTCCGCGCGGTCGAGATAAAAAGGTATTCCCGTCCTCCCGTAGAGCGTTGCCATTGCTCGCTTTTAAATCGTTCAGTTTGTTAATCAAAAATTCGTAAACGTTTTACAAGATATGAAATCGATAATAAAACAAATTCCAAATTTGGGCTTTCAGATGCCCATATTCGCAGTAGGATTACGCCATTCAAATTTAGATAGCTCTGGGTATCGTTGTTTTATCACAATGCAAGAAACATACATACATTTATGCAGACTGGGTGGCAACGATTTGAAACGTGATACGCCATTTATAGGATTCCGACGCAAAATCGCAAAACAAAAACAATAGTCCTTCAGGCAGAAAGCCCCTTTGGATTAATAATTAAGGAATAAAATTTACGTATAAACTAGCCCGCAGAGGGAAGATCTCTGTACAAAGTGTGTGTATATGATTATGGCAAAGCCTCGAGGGCTATCTGCCTAAGAGGAGGGATGCCTTCGTGGAGGACTTTCTAAGGGAAACTGGCTCGTATACACATTACACATAAAACCACGAAAACGCCCATGCAGCCAGCCCGTTCGCGGGATTCGAACCTCGGACCGAACTACCAGTGTTCAGCGATTTTACCGCTCGGCCGCTGGTGGGCCCTCTGTACAAAGGAACCTCGAGATATGAATCTAATTGGTTACAGCATTGAGCTCCTATAGCAAATTTCTCTTATCTAGAAACAAACTTCCCCATTGAAAATAACAGAAATCCGGTTAATCCGTTCCTCACCCCCAAAAATATCAACACATAAATCAATTTTCCTAAAAAATAACAAGGGTAAGTAATACTTGGGGTTTTATACATATTCTTAGCCTTAACGCAAATAATAGCTTCCGACACCGAATCGCCTTTTAACTGCTTTTCGTTAAATTCGCACCAATAACATCTTCTAGGAGTTTCGGACGGTGCTTGGAAGTAACGATAACTCCTTTGGCCACATTAAGTTTCCTTCTTCTTTAGAATACTGCAGAACGTTGATGTAGAACGGTCGTAAGTCTTAGCCAATACCGTCACTCATATACCACGCTTATGTTTTATCTATGATTTCTTTCTTAATTTCAACGGCCAGGACTTCCTTATTTCTCTTTGCAGCGCTATCTGAGGACACAGTCAAACTTCTTTTCGTTATTTTAAAGAATAAATTTTTCTCTTGCACAAAATTTATGCAACATTTGTAATTTATAGCAATTTTTTTTTTTTTATTGTTCTTTTAGAGAAATTCATGGAAACAAGCTGACTGAATTTCCTGCAGCTGTTGCAAGTCTTCCGACACTCCGAGAATTGTAAGTAATTGCTGATTTTTTTTTACTATTAAACAAAGCTTTCATCTTTTTTTTTTTTTTTTTTTTTTTAGGTATTTATTTTTAAATGCCTGGTTTTGGCATTAGCCATCCTTGCTCCCACTACTTTTCGAATTGTAGAATTAAAAATATGGTTACGAAATGTACAGGCCCGGTAAGATGGCTTCCCCATAAAGCAGTTTTAGGGTTGCCATAAAATGCCAAGGGAAGGCAGGGTTGCCACATTTAGCGAGAAATCGCCCATTTGGCGACAGAATCGGCTATATATGATGGACGAATGGAGAACCTTCTGGAACGAATTCCTACCGGTTTAAACATTTTCGACGCTTCGACATTGCAACGGTAAAACAAAGAATTCACATCTAACAAGGTCTAATTATTTTCTAAAAACTGAACTGCAAACCGAAATACCCAACGCTTTAGAGCAAATAAAACTTCTCTACTTACAGTAAGCAACTACCACGTGCAAATAAAGGGCGATTTAAAGAGACGTCATAAATCACGCCATTCGGAAACATTTACTTCCCCGTTTGTTTATATAATCAAAAACACGTGTATGTGAGTCATGCTTCTTTCATTTCGAGTAGAAGGTTTAATATACATGTATCTGAAACCATATGGACATACAGTGCCATCTTGTGGCAGAAATTATAGTTTGAAAAACGTTCCAAAGTACTGGCACAAATACGTGACAGTCGGTAGAGAACGGAACAATCCTCTGGCACGCCTGCGTGTCGGCCGGTAGGTAAGTGTGTTCGTTGCTGGCACGTATACGTGACAGTCGGCTCGAAGGGGTTTTAACCCAGAATGTGCTTGACCACAAGCCGAAAACTGTATAAACCCTGCTGGTCCGCAGTCAGTTAGTGTGTGTGCATCGTCTAGCGAGCTGATAGTCAGTCATTGCGCGAGTGTCTCGATGTCTAGCACGGAGTTGGTCGTCGAGTCCATCGAGAGTCTTTTAGTGCATCGTCGAGTTTTGTGTTAGACTGTGCTGAGTCGAGAGCTATACTCTTGTGTATCGTCGAGTGCATCGCGTGGAGAGTTTCGAGAGTTTGTGGAGTTCCAAGAACGACCAAGCAGAGTCGGGAGCTGTACTCCGGAAAGCATAGTCGGGCGGGTGCTTTGCAGGAAGCTCTCTCTACTGTTATTGCCTGACAGTGTAAAAGCTGTGTCGCTGATTGTTCCAGCGTGTTTAGAGTAGATCTTCGACGACTGTAAAAAGTGTTATTCGAGATTTCCTGATTAATATTGGCTAAATAAAGTGTGTTTCGATCCTTCATCAAGTGTCGTCGTTATTCACTCCAAATCTACGAACCCCGTACGAACGTGAAGGAAGAAAATAACATAACAACTGGTGTCAGAAGAAAAGAAAAACTGTAACAATATAAAGCACCGTGCACGTGTTTAAATGTTCTCTCTGCTCAAGGATTATCAGAGTCGCTAAAAAAACAACACACTGTGGAATTATGCAGTAAACGAGATAAACATTAAGGCAACGATGTCAACTTAAAAGGAAGAACGATATCTTAAGGGGACTCATACACCTTAAAAACCCATCAGATGTTTGAATAGACGACTGTTACAAGAATTGGGATAACTTATTTATTTTAAAAGCAATTACTACCAACATTTTACAACTGACTACATAATATAGCTACTTTCTGAAATAGTAATCAGAAAGTTTGTGTTGCCACAAATACTTTTATAATTTAATCCGCTTTGTGACAACATTTTTCGTCATGTTTCCAACTTGCGCGCACATTTTAAAACATTTTGTTTCATAATTTAATTCCATATTTAATATATAGCTTTTATAACATTTGGAAACGACTGTGAACCTATAATTCTAAAAATTTCATGTTAAATTTTTATTTTATTTTGAGTTAAGTTTATAAAACGTATTTTATTAACAAAAGTTTTAATGTTTTCGTCCATAAAATTTTTCAGTATTAAAATATTCGTCAGACTGTTGGTTCAGTTAGAAAATAGTGCCCAAATAAAGAATTCCGTCCAATTTCAAGTATGTACGATTAGCCATTTTTAAAATATCGTGCGCGCAAGGGGGAACAATGGCAAAATATTTTGTCACAAAGAGGATTAAATTACAAAAATATTTGTGGCAACACAAACTTTCTGTTTACTATTTTCCAAAGCAGCTATATTATGCAGTCAGCTGTAAAAAGTTGGAAGTAATTGCTTTTAAAATAAATAAAATATACCAGTTCTTGCAACAGTCACATATTCGAAGATCATGAGGGGTTTAAGGTATATGAGTCCCCTTAATTATAGCATAAGAAGACCGTAGGACAGTTGTATCTGCTTGTTTAGGAAACATTGCGATGCCTTTCCATTAGCAACTACGCGTGAATTTGAGTCCACAATCTTCTAAATTCTACCTTTATAAAACTCTTAGCAAAATCAGATTCTCTTTGTTCCGTTATCTTAAGTTTTTGATGTTATAAATTGTCATGCATATTGTGTCTGAAAGAATTTTAATTCCCCCCCCCTTAGTCCAAAGGAGCAGTTTGTGCAGAAGGACTATTGATTTCGTTTTGTGCAGAAGGACTATTGATTTTCGAAGGACTATTTTGCGTTGAACAATATAAACGGCCAATCACTTTTCAAATTGTTCCCACCGAATATTAGAGCCCTGTATTATATTTAAGGAAATTAAACAATGAAGAGTCTGCATGAATGTATGTATGCTTCTCGCATTGTGATAAAACAACGTTACCTAGAGCCATCCAGTTTTGAATGACGTAATCCTACTTCAAATATGGGCATCTGAAATCCCAAGTTCGAAATCTGGAATTTGTTTTATGACCGATTTCATATTTTGTAAAACATTAACGAATTTCTGATTAACAAACTCGACGATTTAAAAGCGAGCAATGGCAACACTCTACGGAGAAAAAAACCCTTTTGTCTCCAGCACGCGAGACTGTATCGGAAATTCTAAAGCTTAGCTCATTTTAAAATATTTTGCGACGCTGCTGTTGAATTGAATTTTATGGCTTAAGTGCGAAGAATATGATATTTAATCAATAAAGGTAACACACAAAACGTTAAAAAAACGCCCCTTTGGGATGTAATTTTAAATCTGAAACCTTTCAGATTGTTTCCTGGGGAGAAGGCTTGTTTGTATTTTGTTTTTATCTTTTAAATTTTTTTTTCTTTTTCTGACATCAGTTGTTTTATTTTCTTCCTTCACGTTCGTACGGGGTTCGTAGATTTGGAGTAAATAACGACGACACTTGGTGAAGTATCGAAACACACTTTATTTACCAATATCAATCAGGACAGCTCCAAAATACTTTTACAGTCGGCGAAGATCTACTCTAAACACGCTGGAACAATCAGCGACACAGCCTTCACACTGTCAGGAAATAACGGTGGAGGCAACTTCACTGCAAAGCACCCGAGTACAGCTCCCGACTCTGCTCGGTCGTTCTCGGAACTCCAAGAACTCTCGAGACTCTCCACGCTACAACTCGCAATGCACAAGCGTATAGCTCTCGACTCAGCACAGTCTAAAACGAAACTCGACGATGCACTAATTCGCGATACGCTAAAAGACTCTCGCGATGCACTCGACAACGAACTCGGCGCTAGACTTCGAGACACTCGCTCAATGACTGACTATAAGCTTGCTAGACGAGGCACACACACTAACTGACGGCAGACTAGCAGCGTTTATGGCTTTTGGCTTGTGCTCGAGAACATTCTGGGCTAAACCGGTAAGAATTCGTTCCAGAAGGTTCTCCATCCGTCCATGGTACATCGGCAGTTTTGTCGCCGAATGTCGCCAAATGGGCGGTTTCTCGCCAAATGTGGCAACTCTGCCTTCACTTGCCATTTTTTGGCAACCCTAAAACTGCTTTGCGGGGAAGTCATCTTACCGCGCCAAATGGGCCATCTTACCGCGCCAAATGGGCGATTTCTTGCCAAATGTGGCAACCCTGCCTTCACTTGCCATTTTATGGCAACCCTAAAACTACTTTGCGGGGAAGCCATCTTACAGCGCCTGTACATTTCGTAACAATATATACTAGAACTGTAAATTTTCGTTTTGATGGGAAGTATAACCTTAATTGTTATTAAGAGTATTTTAATCGCTAGATGTTTAAATTTATCATCCTTTATTTCAAGAATTGAGACTGTAAATTGTGTAATAAAAGTTATGTGGTTTTTTCCGCTATTATGCTTCATTTCGTTGTTATTTAACGGCATTTATGCATAATGTATGGTTAGTATGCAAGTATTCAGTTTGGGAGGAATAGTACGATCTTTTAATTATAAGGTTCCTTTTCTCAAAGATAAATTCTGAATTAAAACAGGGTAACATCACACTGAATTCTAACGAAATTGGATAAATCGGTTTGAAAATGATATATTTTCATATTATTACAAGAATCATTTGTATCTGCATTTTTATATGTATTACTGCAGTTACATTATTTTAAGAAATTTTCTCATGAATAGATTGAGTCAGGTTAACTTATAAGGTATTTCTCCCGCCTTCTTAGCATGCCTTCATGGTGTAGTGGTCAGCACGCTCGGCGCGTATTCGAGAGATCCGTGGTTCAAGTCCCGATCAGGGCATTGCTCATTTTTCATCTTTCCTGCTTCCAAAAAGAATCTTAATATCTCTACAGTGGCTCCCAAACTAAGAAAGCTGGTGGATGATGATTCTCCACCACCAGGAGTTGGCGATTGGATCCCCTAATCCCCAGTCGCCCTGTAAATGGGGGGTATATAAGGTATTTCTCCCGCCTTCTTAGCGTGTTTTCGTAGTGTAATGGCCAGCACGGTTGGCGCGTATTCGAAAGGTCCGTGGCTCGAGTCTCGGCGAGCGCATTGCTCATTTTTCATCTCTCCTGCTCCCGGAAAAATTCTAATGTCCGTACAAACTTATGACTTTATCAACGATTGCATTTAGTCAACATTATAGTGAAAGATATATGTTTCTTCTTGCATTGCTG